ATCAGTAAGTATGATAAATGTTCTTCCTTTAAACTAGGGGGTAGTAAAAGGCAGAGTCCTGGTTCTCCTGGCCCTCTTGTTTTAGCTGCTGGTCCACACTGGTTCTTTGCTTAGGCACCTCTACTTGCCTTGGTAACCCTCTAAGGCAGTGATGGTGACCCCTTTAGAGACCAAGTGCCCAAACTGCAACCCAAAACCCACTTATTTATCACAAAGTGCCAACATAGCAATTTAACCTGAATACTGAGGTTTTACAACCTAAAATAATGAAAAACAAAGCTAATTCATTTCAGCTAATTGTTCTAAGAAAAACATGATAAATGCACTTTTATGCCCTTTCATTTTTTCTGCTTTTGAAATATTACATTTAGCAACAATAAAAAAGAAAAACTTTTGTAATATCATTTTGCTTTCCCTCCCTCTCTTTCTCTCCTCCATTTCTCTGTTTCTCTTTCCCTCCTTCTTTCTCTTTTCCCCCTTTCCACCCCTCCCTCTCTCTGATTCTGTTTCTTTTCCTCCCTCCCTCCCTCCCTCCGTCTCTCTCTTTCCCTGCCTCCCTTTGTCTCTCTTCCCTCCACTTTCCCTCTTTCCCTCCATCTTTCTCCCCTCCCTCTCTCTCTTCCCCCTCCCTCTCTGCCTCTATTTCGCTCTTTCCCCCTCTGTCTCTCTATTTCTCTCTTTCCCCCCTCTGTCTCGCTCTCTCTTTCCACCCTCTCTTTCCCCTTCTCCCCCTTTCCCTCTTTCCCTCCCTCCCTCTCTCTTTCCCTCCCTCCCTTTCCCCCCCTCTTCCTCCCCCCCTGGGGAGGGAAGGAACCCCTGAACTGGTGCTGGGTGGTGGGAATCTGACATCCATAGACCAATGAGCCCAGGAGCAGCACACCGAAGCTCAGCTGGCCGGTGGAGCATCCCAACATAGGCAGCTCTGCAGGAAAAGCAACTAACATCCAGGAGGCCAGAACGAGCCAAGACGACACAGGGTCGGATTGTGGCTCCACATTATAATGGGCTTCAGGAGGAGGCGACCCCATCTCCCCCATTGTGAAGTGCACAAGTGGAAAAGTTCACTCAATCAATTCCAACTTCACGACATTTTTTTTTTTTTTGCGAGAAGTTGGAATTGATTGATTTTTATTTTTTTTGCCCCACAAACTTTTGTTTCCCTGCAAACAATGGCAAGAAATACAACAGAAAAATGCAATGGAGCTGGGCTGGGGCAACGGTGCATGTGCCCACAGAGAGGGCTCTGTGTGCCATCTCTGGCATGCATGCCATAGGTTCGCCACCATGGCTCTAGAAGCACTAGGAACACAGTTTTTAGAAGCTGCAGCCAAGTCTACATTGGAACAAACATTCTGGAAAAGTTGGACCATACATGTCTGGAAGACATCAGTTTATGGAAACTTCTAACACTATGTTAGAAAATACATAGACGGAGTATAATAAGATAAAGTTTTATTTATTTATTTATTTTTATTTTAACTTTATACACCGCCCTTCTCCCTGAGGACTCAGGGCTGTGTACAGCCAGAATTAAAAAACATGAAATACAAATATTAAAGAACAATTAAAATATATATAAATTTGGCCCAAAATTAAAAATGCAAACCAATTAAAACATTTAAAATTTCTTCTTAAGCCAGCCCGGCTTGCTGGAAAAAGTGGGTTTTAAGGGCATGGCGGAAGGCACTAAGGTCTTGGATTCTCCTTATCTCTGGGGGCAACTGATTCCAGAGGGTAGGTGCCCCCACAGAGAAGGCCCTCCCCCTGGGGGTCACCAGCCTACATTGATTGGCTGATGGCACCCTGAGGAGGCCCTCTCTGTGGGAGCGCACGGGACGATGGGAGGTCGTCGGTAGCAGCAGGCGGTCTCAAAGATAGCTAGGCCCGATGCCATGGAGCGCTTTAAAGGTGATAACCAACACCTTGAAGCGCATCCGGAAGACCACTGGGAGCCAGTGCAGCTCGCACTGGCTCCCAGTGGTTAACTTTTTATGGAACCACTTTTATCAGAAACTATACAACACATAAGTATAGAAAGCATAAGCTATGATGTGAAAAATAGTTTCAGGAAACTCTGAAGAAGACTCAATTCTAGATCTTAATATGAGATTGCATCTTTGTTTACCAGATCTTTCTCCTACTTAACAATTTTCGATTATAGATTTGACTTATATAAGCAATATTTATTGAGATATCTGTCTTTCCTATTAAAGCATAAAAGGCATTGAAGACCAAGGGCATTTGTTTGAAAGGCTCCAGGAGAATGAATTTTGTTCTTTCATATTATCCTAACTGCAATACTGCAGTTGCTTCTAAATACGTTCAGCATTTACCAAAGCATAAGACAATATTTCTTCCCCCAACCCCCAAAGGATTTTTAACATGGGCCATCCTTAAATACATTTCTTCAGCCTTTAATACAATGGAATATCTCCTCAGTGTCACTCAGGCCAATCCACCTTGCAGAGTTGTTGTAAATTTAACATTGGAGAAGGGCTGCAGATATATGTTGGAGCTCTGAGAAGAAAGGCAGATTAAAACTAATGAATAAATAAATACCCAGAGATGCTGGGGACTCAACTTTTGCATATAAAGCAGGCACTCTATCATGGAGTACATCCCTCCCAAAGGGCTACAAGCAACATAGAATAATAAATACAGCTTTGCTTTTATTTCAATACTTCAGAGAGACATTATTAATTTTTAAAAATATATTTCAGCAGTTTGTTCCCTTTATTGTTGCTGGTTTCCTGACTTGCTGTTGGAAAGGAGATCAATAAAAGCAATTATGTTGTTTAGGCAAGCACAGGTGATGTTAATATTATTTTAAAGCAGCCCATTTGTATTGGGAAGATTTTTCTGAGCTAAATATCTAAAGAAGGATGCCTAGGCACAAAGAGGCCCATGAGAGGCATAAGGGCAACACTTTCAGGGTTTGAGACACTGTACTGTGCTGAAATATTACTGCTAAATCAAACAATGACATAGATGCACACATATTTCATGGAATAAATTATCACTGGAGTTAGCCCACTACCTTACAATTTAATATTTAGTATTTTTTAGATTGCTAATTCAAACAAAGGAGGACACTGGGCTTGTCTGGCAGTTCGAGATCTAAGTACCACGTGACAGAGGGAGCTTCTGTTTCTTGCCCCAATTCCTGCCAACCTAGCAGTTTGAAAGCATGAAAATGCAAGTAAACAAATAGATACTATTTTGGTGGGAAGGTAACAGCATTCCATGTGCCTTCAGTGATAATTATGCTGGCCATATGACCACAGAAGTGTCCTCAGACAATGCTGGCTCTTTGGCTGTGAACTGGAGATGAGCACTGCCCTGTAGAATCAAACATAATTGGCAGGGGAAACCTTAGTTTTATCTTAATAGAAATCCCTAAGAGTTTCAAACCAGAAATCCAACTTGTGGCTTCCCTCAACAATGGGGGGAAAAACTCCATATTTTTTAACCTTATAATTTCTATTATTTGCCCTGGCCTGAAGTAGGCTGTGGAATTCAATAGTGTATATGTTACAAAATCAAATGAATACCAGTTAATAGGACATATTCTGATAGATATACATGTGAGGAATATACATATTTTTTTTCTCTTAAAAGGACACAAGAATGTTGGACTTTCCCTACCTCTTCTATTACTGCACTGAAGTAAATCAAAAATTAAGAAATCACAGTTTGGTTAAGACTTGCTATTTTCTACTGAACTGAGTTCTAAACTGGGAATTCTGCTTCCTGGGAATAGCAGTTAAGTTTGTTTTGCCTCAGTCAACAATGTAGAACTATTAACTTTGAAATCTACTTTCAGTAGGATATACTGCCAAATATATCAGCACCGGTAACTAAGTAATATCTCTGATACTTCTGCACTGCTTAAAATGTGCAACCATAGCACATGTTTTTAATGTGGTAATTATTAATACATTTTCACTACACTGCATTTCTTATTTGGTTATCTCACACATACACACACTACTCATGTTTGAATCTTTTCCAAATCTTATCCAACAACACAGTATATGACCGAATGTGTAACAGTGTTAAGGTTCATTTGTAGAACCAATTTTCCAGATATACTGAATTAATAAATATTATAAATAGTTTCTGAAGATATCTAATATGGTAATCTCAACTGTGAATCTATGTGAATATACAATGGGATCCAAATATAGTAAAAATTTAAATCACATCTAATATTTAAAACACTGCACTACAGAACCTGAACACTGACTGCAGATAATTTCTTTTCAATCTGATGTTATCCAAAGGTGTTGGGCAACTTCCATTGCCCACCCATAACTAGGAAGCACACAAGCTGCAATTCAACACATCTGAAAACGCCTGGGGAAAGGATAGAGTGATACACTCAAGAAAGAGTTGGTTACTAATTTCTGAATGTGCTTGGTGGATATGTTTTGGATTTAGTGAAGCAAGGAAACCTCAGGGAACTATCCCGCGATTTCTTTCTCTTTTCAAAAGCTTTGCTTTGAATGCTGACATTTTCCAAAGATGGTAAGAATATGCTGGGGGATTGTGATTAAACTCAACCCTACCCCAAGCTGTGCTTATAAAGAAAATTCAAAATATTATCACGCATCAATTTCAACCCCCTCTCCCCCAAATTTATAGTATCCCGAATCTCCATGTAAGGATATTAGTTAACTGGGAGACTTCGTGAAAGCACTCTCTCATCCCATCCCACTCATCCCGAAGGGTAGTCCCCCTACGAACATAAGGCCAAGAAGAATTAAAAGACTCGCAATGAAGGCAAGTCTTTTCACTCACCCTCTGATTTTGAATGCCATCAAAATAATAAGAGCGGAGTAAAAAAGCTGTCTTTCTTTGCACATCTGAATATGAGTCTCAGAGCGTGCTCTGCTGTCGGAAAAAGTGTCGCTTGTCTTGCAATCCCTTCTTTCTCTCACCACCGCTGCTGTCCCCGTCCCAAAAAGAACTGGCCCTCTACAGACCAGCCAGCTGCTCACCTCCTGCAGCGCTTCCTAGGACACTGCAGTAGTTCTCGCCCTGTTGTTGCAGCAATAGGCTCTCCGCCCGCTACTGGGGACGCATAACTTTGCCTCACACGGCGTCGATGCAGTGGCGGTGGTCCGCAATCACTGGAAGAGAGTGGTCCTCCTTCCAGCTGCTCCTTTGCCTACGCGAGAGAGAGAGAGAGAGAGAGAGAGAGAGAGAGAGAGAGAGAGAGAGAGAGAGTTTAAATCGCTCTCTTGTTTATCACCATTTCTCTTCGGCCGGCGCTGTTCCCAGGCAGGACCCATCTATGCTCATGCTCGGTCCCGGCATGGCTGCCACGTTGCATCCTGGGTGTTGTAGTTTTCTTTCTGCCCATTGGTGTCTTTTTTTTTTTTTTTTTTTTTTGCACATCGGAAATCCTCATGCAGAATTTGTTCAGGCTATAGAGCTATAATTATTTATCTAGGAGTAAATTCCAAATATATATTCCACTAAACTTACTTTTGGTAGGCAGAATTGAACAAATAGCCAACAAGATAATTTTTAAAAATTGAGTCAATTCTTATCAGCAATATGTATAGATCTCTCAGGCATGTGGTATTTATATGAAAGCCTTAAAAACCAGGGGGTTCCCTGAAGTGCCTATGGATAGTCAATCCAAATATGCTATTTCTATTTCATCTTTCCCTCAATGTTTTTAAGTTAAAACAAAAACTCTCTTAAGTGAATGTTTCACTTAAGTTGTCCCATATATATTTCTAAACTAAATGCCCCCCCACCCCATGAGACATATTGTACCTTCTCAGAAATTGAAGTAAGATGAAACAGCCAATCTGCTGGAAAGTGGGAGGATCATCTTTGTTGTGTGGTGGGTAGAGTGAAGAGGCAGAGGCGCAAGTGTGACTTTAGCTCTTTATTGCTACCCGGAAACTCCAGCAAAGCCTGTCTGGCAGCGTACCCTTTTATAGGGGCTGCCAGACGAATTGACCAATCAATTCAAACTATTCTTCCCGCCTGGATGGCGGACCTGAGTGAAGCCTTCCTTTCTTCGGCTTCACTCTGTTTACTGATGAGTATTTAACAATCTCGTCCTCCTCAAGCAAAAAGATGTTGGATTGATTCTGAATGTTGCTTTTTTGGAATATTTTTCAGCAGGAAATCAAAAAGTATTCAGGCCCGTTGCTCAATAAATGAATAAGAGCAACCAACAGAGCCTTCAAATGCTGCCTCATATTAGCTACTGTTTGTATGCATACTTAGATATTCCCATGGTGACAAGATAGTTAAATATCTTTCCAGTAAATTAATGTCAGCCTTTAACTGCTGAAGTGTTTGGTCCTGATAACTTGACACTTAGCTGGGGAAAACTTACTTTTTAATAGCTGAGTATTGCATCTCCCACAGTTTGTTTGATTTTGATACATATACATAACCACCTAGACTCCTAATAAGAAGCACTTTCTTTCATTTTAATTGCTGTTTTCTCTCCCACTGTTCAGACAAGGCTACCACAGCAGTTCCCATTTGGGTCACTATGAATAAAACAATGGTAGGATGGGACTACCATTCCAAGAATTCCCAACTAGGATGGAACTGGCAAGGCAGCAGTGAAAGACAGGGGCTTCATCTTCACAGGACAGAGGGGATGTGGAGCTGAAGGAGCAGCAGTGAGGCAAGTGCTGATAGTAGTTCCCCTTGCTGACTTTTGGCAAAGTAAAAATGGCCTGAAGAATTGCCAAATAGCTTTTGAGTGAATTTTACACAGCTTCTAGTTTGGGTGATTCAATCGTATGCTGTAGATTTATGCTGAACGCAGACGTCACTATCTGTATTTAAAATGGAGAATCCATCTGACAAAGGAGGAAGACACGGGTGGGGAGAAAAGAAAGTTAAGGGGGAAAATCTAAATTGGATTTTGAGACCCAAAACAGCTTAGCAGAATAACAGAGTTGAAAGGTACCTTGGAGATCTTCTAGTCTAACCTCTTGCTCAGGCAGAAACTCTATACTATTTTAGACAAATGGTTGTCCAATTTCTTCTTAAAAACTTCCAGTAGGCGGTGACAACAGCATGGAGCAGTTGAGGGGACGAGGCTCCGTTCTTGAAGCTCAGAATATCTACACTAAGAGCTCTTTTAGGGCATTACCGATCATGTAAGGAACGGCAAACTAAAGAGGAAGCTCCAGAGATTCAGGTGGAATGCCAGCCCCTGAGTGGATGTGAGCGGCACTCTTAAAACTTAGTGAAGAAAGAGCCGGTCTTTAAGACCGGCCTGGAGGGACTTCCCGTTTGGTTTCCGTCATCGCCAGATGGTCTTTTTTCAGACCGCCAGCCCCGTCGCCTGTAAAGAGCCACTTCGAGAAAGGACAAGTGGCTTGGAAAACTCCGAATTCCAAAGGAATCGTGAGGAGAGCCGGCGAGAACAGGTAGAGCCCCTGTGAAGCCCCCAGATTGCTTCTGCTTCTGGGGAGGAAACAGGCGAGGCTCCCTATCCAGCTCGCCGAAGCTCCGGACCTCGGGGACAATTCTACACTTTGTAGAACCAGACGGCGTGACCAACCTTACTAGCGAAAACAAAGAGAATTTTTTAAACGAACAGGGTGAAATTGGGACTTGAACTTCATAACAGCAAGTATTTCTGCTAGCCCTGTGTTTAAATTTAAGTGAAAGTTTGAAAGTCTCTTGAAAATGGCGCCCGGCTTCAGCGCTAGGGAAAGCTGAAAGCGAAAGTGGATTTGTATAGTCATTTCAATACGCTACAAAGTAACATTGCTTGCAACAAGCGAAGAGAAAGGGAAATCCTTTTAAAGTAAGCCTGATTCTGACTTAATTTTATTTTTAATTTGATAAAACCTGGGGGAATTTTTTAGAGGACTTTGTGGAGGAAGAAAAGGAAAAAAAGACTTCCTTCTTTGAAAAAGTTAGATTACGTGGCAGAATGGCCTCAAAACAGACCAAGCAAGAAGCGAAGGCGGCGGGGGGGGATCCCCCACACATAAACCGCAACAACAGCCTCCTAGCCAGCAGAGCCAGAAAAAGGAGATTGATCTTGAAAATTTAAAAGAATTTATTGCTCAGGCTTTGGTGAGGCAAGATGAAAACATGGATGAGAAGTTTAAAAAATCTCAACAGGAAATTAAGCAGGAGATTAAAGAAATCAAAGAGGTGGTTCAAGAAAAATATGATAAGGTGACAAAACTTAATGACAGTGGTGACTGGTCTGTCAGATGCAGTTCTGCAAACTGATAAAAAAGTGGAGGAATTTAGACTAGAAGTAGATGTTAAAATGAAGGAGGCTGACTATAAAATCTTTAATGTTGACAATAAAATGCAAAGGATTGAAAATGAGATGACAATGATGCAATTCAGGTCTATGGAATTTGCTATAAGACTTAGAGGTATAAAAGAGAATACCAGAGAAGACCTGAGAAGGATCTATGCTGATGCTTTAGCTGTGATGTTAAAGATTAGCCCTGAAGAGATTTTTTGTAAGATGGATAAAGTTTACAGAGTGAATTCTTGGGTGGCTAAACAAAGACAATTGCCTAGAGATGTGGTGATATATTTTACAGATAGAAGAATAAGAAATGATATTCTGCAAAGGTCCTTTGTCTCCACTGTGCAAGTGGATGGAAGGGAAATTGGAGTTTATAAAGAGCTGTTGCCTAAGATGTTAAAAGACAGAGAGGACTTTAGATTTTTAGTGTCTGAACTAAAGAAACAGCAAATTCCATTCAGGTGGGATGCTCCAACTGGCATAATATTGAGGTTTCAAGGAGAAAGATATCGATTAAATACTGTTGAGAAAGCAGAAGAATTTTATTCTACAGTTTTTAAAACAGGTTCAACATCCCCACATACATCTTCAGTGTTGGAGATAAAGGAGAGTGATAAGGAGAAGCAGTTTGAACAAGAGACTGAAGAGCAGTGTAAACAGATGGAGCGGGAGGCAATGGAAATGTAGGGAGCTACAGGGGGATTTCTGGATGAGCCTCTGTTAGATCTCCCTCTGGAAACTGTAATTGAATCACCTAAAAATACAAGAGAAGTGGCTTTGGAGCTAGCTCGGATGTGTGAAGCTAAAGATGAGCGTATAACTCGAGCAGTTTATAGGCAAATTAAAGAAAAACAACAACAGGAAAGGTCCAAGCCACAGCAAGACAAGAAGGGAGCTAAGGGTAATATACAAGCATGTGAAGCCATGGGAGGAGCAAGCCGAAGACTATCAAATTATTTATTTATTTATTATTATTATTATTATTATTATTATTATTATTATTATTATTTATATGCCGCCCTTCTCTGAAGACTCAGGGCGGCTTACAATGTGCTCAGCAATAGCCTTCATCCTTTTGTATATTTTATACAAAGTCAGCTTATTGCCCCCACAAACTGGGTCCTCATTTCACCTACCTTAGAAAGGATGGAAGGCTGAGTCAACCTTGAGCCTTGGCGAGATTCAAACCCTGCAGTAATTGCAGGCAGCTGGTCTTAATAACCAGCTTAATAACAGGGTGCCTTAAACCCCTGTACTACCAAGGCTCTTCTTGGGAGAAAGCCTTCAGCAAATGTTCTTATCGCTTCAAGAGGGTCCAAATGACAATTAAGTTTTTATCTTGGAATGTGAACGGATTAAACTCACCACAGAAAAGGAAGAAATTATTTAATTATTTGAGACAATTTAACAATGATATTATTTGCTTACAAGAAACTCACATTCGAATACAAGATCAAAAATACTTAATAAACTCTAGGTTAGGAACACAATTTATAGCTTCGAATTTGGAAAAAAAGAACAGCGTAGTGATTTATATAAATAAAAGATTGTCAGCTAAAATTATAGAAGCAGATGACTGTGGGAGGTTTATAGCAATTGAACTTTATACAGAAAATGGTCCAATTTTGGTGATTGGAATTTATGCTCCTAATCAACAACAACAAAATTTTTTATAAAACATTGTATTCTAAAATATTGCAATGGGATTACAGATCTATTTTAATTATGGGAGATTGGAATGGAGTAATTGATCCCAAAATAGATAAAAAGAGTTTGGCAAAGTCAAGGATTAGACTACCACAGACTTTTTTTGATATGAAAGAAGATTTGGAACTAAAAGATATTTGGAGAATACATAATCCAAAAGATTTGAATTTTACTTTCTTTTCAGACAGGCACAGATCCTTCTCTAGGATTGATTTTATTTTATTATCATCTGATTTACTTGTAAAAACAAAAAAACCAAAGATTTTTCCAAGGACTTTAACTGACCATAGCCCGGTATGGATAGAAATTGAAATGGGAAAGATTGAGAGAAGATCATGGAGAGTAAATGAAAACTTGTTTAGATATGAAAAGAATGTAAATGAACTCAAAAAGCAAATGAAAGAATTTTTTGAAATGAATTTGAATAAGAGTACCCCTATTGAAATTGTGTGGGATGCGAGTAAGGCATATATGAGAGGGGTACTCATTTATATGAATTCTAAACATAAATTAAACCGACAAAAGAAAAGATTTGAAATGGAAGCAGAGATAAAGAAAAAAGAACAGTTACTTATAAAAACTCCAACAGATGAAAGAATACGAGGAGCTATAAAACTTTTGAAAGATCAATTTCATATGCTTATGGCAGAACAAACAGCAATTAACTTACAATTTGCGAAACATAATACATTTTGCAACGCT